CGCGGCCCGCTCTGCCGTCTCGGGAGCGGCCCGCGGCCTGGGGACGCAGCCCGGCGGGCGGAAGCTGGGAGCGGGCCGGGCGGGTCCCGGGGAAGGCGTGTCCGGTCCGGGCGGCCGCGGCCGAGCGGGGACCCCACGCGCCCGCCCCGCGCTCCCCGGGAACCGACCGGACTGGGGAGGTGGGCGGCGTGACCCAGCGGGGCCGGCCCGGCCGCCCGCGTTTCATCCGCGCGGAGGCTCGGGATCCGCCAGGCCTCTCCCATGTCTCGGCCCCAGCTCTCCCGGAGATGGTGAAGTTCTGAGTTGATTCTTTTGCTCGAGGTCAAAAAACCCCACAAAGTTGAACACTGTTTCCAGAATAGTGTCGGAAGGGAATCGCTGGTTCTGTGTGTGCTAACTCCGGCAGGTACCTGGGAAATTGTTCTGGAGCCGAAGCGATAACCGAGGTGCACTCCGCGGTGTATCTGGGGGCACGGCTGCCCGATGCTGAGATTTGCTGTGGCTCGTGTATGGGCGGGCGGTTCACAGATGGCTGCAGCTCCGGGTCGCGCCTTTAGATCTGTGTGGTGAATCCTCAGCATCTCTCCTGTGGTCTCCCTTGCTCGAATTAGGCCCAGTTTTTAAATTACTGGGTGTTTTGAGTGAAGTGAGGGGAATTTCCTCTAAAGAAGGATTCTCTAAGAAGAGTAAGTATTCTTAAAGGCGACAGACCATACGTAAACTTGCCTCTAGCGAGGCCTGGCTTTGTTTTTGTTTTTTTAAGTAAAGAGCCCTCTTAAGGGAGGAGTGCTTGCGTGTTGAAGCCTGGCTTTTCCAGTTCATTTAGTGTTGTACCCTAGGACCCTCGTCTGCCTACTGGTAAGTTTGAAATGTTAGGCAGCTTGTGATTCCCTGCTAAGTTAGGGCTGGAGAGGTGGCTCGGGTGCTTCTCATGCTTATACTTACGTCCAAGGTTTTGTGGGTAGAAGATACACGCCTTCCGCAGGTGTTGAGGAGCGTCCTGAGCAAGACCTTCTGTGTCTTCATTTATGGTCACTTAGGTGCCCTGCACTCTTAAAGGTTAAAGGATGAGCTGTAGTGTCCTTGACCCTTAAGGAGCACAGTGTAGAAGGGAAGGCACACCTGGGAAGAACTCAGCAATGATTTATTCATGACCCTCAAGACTTCTGCTGGGCACGCAGGATGTAGCATTGAGAAGGATGGCCACGATCCATGCCCTCTAGTGGTTTACAAGCAGTTTTCACGCAGGTGTGATAATGCAGATGTCAGAGGCACCATAGAACAGTGGTTAATAGACAGGATGCAGGAGCCAGGCTGCTTTGTTCCCGTCTTGGCATCGTCACTGTGGACAGACTCATAAGACTCAGCCTCTCGATGACTGAGTTTTGTCACTTGTAAATAGGCACGATGAACATTACCCATCTTACAGAGTTGTTTAGTTGTTAACAAAAGTTAACGCATGTGCAGCGCCTAGACTATGTACTGGTAAGTAGTGACTGTTAACGCGTTTGTTGTCACGAGTAAGGAATGAGGGAATATTGGAGGAAAGTGCACGGAAGGGAGCCTGGGTCTTGAACCTTACACCACTGGCTTTGTATATTTACAAATGCTGCTAATGCTTGCAGTTAGCTTTTTAAAGGTCCCGTTAGTTGCCAGTGCATTTTAATTTAGGATTAAACGAGCCATTTGAAGGTGTAAATAGTCTATTTGCATATTCATAATTTGAAGGCTTTGTTAGAATGATGGCTTATTTTTCTTAGTGGCTACAGTTTTTACAGGTGGGATCTTTACCCAGAATATTTGGAACAAGAGAGCTTGGAACCTGTGGCCAGTAGAAGGACCACTTGGTGTCTGCCGTGGAGGGATGAGAGATGAGGGGGGCGTCAGGCCAGGGCAGGATGGGTGGTGAGGGAGTGGAGAAGCCTGTCACATCCTGGAGAAGCTGGGAAGGGACAGGACTAGAGATGGTGGAGAGTGGAGCTTGGGCTGCCGTCGCAGCCACACTGTGTCCTCTGAGCCCATCTTCTGTTGGCTGCACTGGTGCCGGCTGCTCCGGAATCCTTCTGCCCCAGTCCTGCCTCTTGGCCACGCCAGGTCCAAGTCAGCCCTGGAGAGGAGGGTGAATCAGGATCTGCTCAAGCTCTAGGATTGTGGTTGCCTTTCCAAAATGCAGACCTAAACTGAGACAGAAGAGAGAGTAAATACCATTGTACACATTGTGAGCAGCCAGGGGTCCTGTGGGAGGACCCGGGCGGGGTCTGGATGCTGAAAGGGGGGCTTTACCAGACCTGCCTGAGGGTCTCAGCTCATGTGTTTAACTTGTTTAAGCCCTTAGGTCTCTGTGTAGAGTCAGTAGAAAGCGGGTAGGTTGGGGAAGAGGATTGCTCAGAGACCAACCTGACTGGTGCTCTTGGAGAAAAAGAAACAAAATCCTAATGTGTAAAAATGGTGCCCTGTGTGTAATTCTCAGAAAAGTAAGTAAATACAATCATCATAAGGTACCATGAGAGTTAAGTTTAGGAGAACAGTGCATTGGAAAAGTGTAAGTTTGTTTGTGCTTCAAGGCGACACTTCCAAGACCGTCTGATGAAACGCACTTTGACTTTCAAAGTGAAAGCAGACAGGTGATGTCCTGTATGCAAAGGCGTGTCAGCAGAGTGACTTCACAGTCGGGTGCACCCTTCCTTTTCTTTGAATGGTGGGAGGCCGCACAGAATTACAGAAAGGCTTTCAGAGAAGGAAATTTTAAATTTCTGTTGTCACTTCTTCAAAGACGGCAATTCTTGAAGTTGCTGGATTTCTGGAAGAGGTGAGATGGGAGTTGAGATACAGTAAAATCGATGAATTGACACTTGTAAAAATAATTTCACTGGGGGGAGTTTGATTAAAATTTTAATTTGTCAGAGTAATACGTTGAAGAAAATTGTTTTGAAAGTAAGATAGCATAACACAGGTTTACAGTAGCTCTCACACCCAGCAGTCACATGACGTGTAGGCACCAGTGTTCAGACGTTAATAAAAAGGGACTGAGTTATTCTCTCAGGGACAAAACTCCTAAGTACCAGCCAGAATTTTAAGGCCTCCTGATTCTGAATGTTGTATTTTACATACAATTTACAACATCCAGGCTCGCGTAGGTGACTTACTTGTACCTGTGCTTAGGTTAACCTCCATGTTCCACAAGGCTTAACTTTACTCGGAGAGGGGATTCGAATGAGGCTCGGGTGCAGAGCAGTTGACTTAGCTGTGCGTTAGCTCCTCGTGGAGCTGTCACCTGCGGGACGTGGAAGGGCTTCAGGAGCTGCGTTGCGGAACATCCTGAAATAGTGAATTAACGATGTATCTGGAAGAAATTGGGTGTAACTGCCCGGGTTGTGCTCCTTTCAGAGAGTCTCTGGGCCCTCCATGACTTTTGAAAACTGAGTTTGTTAAGCTTCTTAGAGCCACCTGGGGAGGTGAGACTTGCAACATTGGGGCTGTACCCGGTGGTGGCCAAGGAATCAGTCAGAACCCCAGGAAGGTGCCCTTGGAAGTCTGCATAGTTAGACGTGTTGTTAAATAGGGACTTGGGAGAGTGAGTCATGGACTTGTAGCATGTTCGGATTGCTACCAGCAAGACTGGACAGGCAGAATCTTTCTTTGCAGGCAGCATAGTTGGTGTCCTAGAAAAGAGTGCTTCACAATGGCCCTGGTGGTGCCTGCATGCGTACAGAATCAGTTAATGATGCCTTGGGTCACAACTCCCTGTACTGAATTTCTTTAAGAAAAAGGCAGAGTCCTCTGTAAGTATGCATGTCCGCTGTGTGGGCTTGTAGCTGCGTGACTCGGGGGAACAGCAGACACCTCGGTGCCTCGGGTTGCTTTGTTCTGCCTGCCTGTGGAGGAGAGCTGGCCCTGGCTGGGGCAAAGTCACTAGTTTGCTGATCATGGTTTCATTTCTGATCCTTTTGTGAGAGTTCCTCCTCTCATCAAAACAGAGAAAGTGTAATTGTTGATTGGACTGTTGTTACTTCACCCCTGTGTTTGCCTTATATTCTGGAATTTCGGATTTTCCTCTCTTGATGACGAATAATTTTTGCCATCCGCTTCATGACAGGGTGGGCAGTTCCTGCACTTGAGTTAGGGCGTGGTTTTGCTTTTAACTTGGCTCTGAAAATAAAACTAACATAACATTTTGGGAAGAAGGGAGGGTGGCCCCTGTGGGATTCGGGCATTGGTTGAAAAGGCCGTGCTCCCTGGACCTTTTCGGGGGCTTCTGCACAGACTTCCAGGGGTCCCCCCTCCTTGTCCATCCCCTGACTCTTCTAAGTCAGTCTCCTTAGTCCTCTTCTCTGTGGCTTTTGGAGCAGATGCATTTTTCTGGCCTGGCCCAGCTGATGCCAGTTGGGTCGGTGTTGGGTCGTCTGTCGTGCTGCAGTTCTGGGGTACATCCCAGTGTGGGTTTGCATTGGGGAAAGAGCTCTGGCCCACCACCCTCTGGACCAGGGTTCACCGTGTGACCCTGAGCAAGTTACTTCACTTTTCTGAGAGGTTCTGTCTTTAAAACGTTGGTGGGCTTGGGGTTGTTGTCAGTGTTCGGCTGTCGCAGAACAGATCTGTGTGCTTGTGTATGTTCTTTCTCTTGGGTGTGGACCTGAGAGTGGTGTGGCTGTGTAGCTTTTTAAGAAGCACCAGACTTTCCAGAGTGACTGGAGGTTTCATGGTCCTGCCAGCAGTGGGTCAGAGTCCAGAGTCCTCCAACCTTTGCCAACACTTGGTGTGGGCGGGCTTTAGCTTTTTAGCTCATCTAGTATGTGTGTTTTTCTTTGTGGTTTGAATTTACATTTCCTTAAAGATGGATAATGCTCATCTTTTTCTGTGCTCATTTATTATCTGTATGTTTCTTTGGTCAAGTGTCTGTTCAGACCTTTTGCCCGTTTTTAAATTGTGTTATTTGTTTTCTTGCTAAGTTTAGAGAGTTCTTTATATATTCCAGATACTGATCCTTTCTCAGATAGGTGATTTGCAAATATTATTTTCCATTCTTTGACTTTCTTTTCATTGTCCTAGTAGTGTGTTTCGAAGAGCAGAAGTTCTGAATTTTGATGTTCTGTTCATTGTTTTCTGCAGATGCCCTTTCTCAGGTTGAGAAAATTCCCTGAGTTGACCGAGACCTTTCTTGAAGTTAGGAATGAGTGTTGGATTTTGTGTCAAATGCTTTTTCTGCATTTATGATTTTTTTCTTTTTCAGTTTTTTAATTCAATGAATTACATTGATTTTTTTTAAGTCATTACTTTTTTTTAATGGGAAATTTCAGAAATACACAAAAACAAATGAGCCACCATACACACACCACTTAGTGTCAACTTCTATTTATCCGCTCTAACACCTGAACTTCTGTGGGGCAGGAGAACACAATCAGAGTATTTTAGAGACATCTCAGGAGTCACTTATTTTAACGATAAATATTTCCCAAGGCATATACCTGAAGTGTGATGTTCTAATCTGTGAATGGAAGCCATCTAAGATTCTTGCAAAGTCTGGCCATTTATGAAAGTTTAAGTGATTAAATTCTTGAGACCTTTTCCTTGCTTGTGCTACTATAATAAAGTCCATGTGTATAATTACTAAATTCACTTTTCTCTTACTGTTGCTTAATCCAGATTAAGAGAAGCAGCATCTTGCTCGTTACCATGCTAAGCACGTTTCACCCTTTCAGCTCAGCCTCAATGTAACACAAGACCGTTGGTAAATAGAAGTTGGGTTTTATATATTAAATTGGTTTGCTGTGTCATCTAGAGGGTCACATGAACTTTAAAAATCTGAGTTGTACTGTGCCTCTGGGGAGCCATCGATTCCAGAGTTACAGGAATCAGGAGCCAAAGGACATGATATAGTCATCCTTTTCCTGAAGCATGAAACTGTTTGGGCCCAAGGACCTGCCGATAAAGATGGCTTGGAGGCAGAGGCTGGAGTACAATTCAGACCGGTTAGATTTTAATGTTCTTTTTCAAGATATCATCTGACATAGCTCTTTAACTCACTGCAGAAGGGCAGAAGGGAAGTGGGAGGAATTTCTAGATTTTGTTCATTTTTAAAATCACGACTAGTTGTCATACTGTGTGTCAGGCAGTGTGCTGTAAGTTGGCTCGTACTAGTCCCCTATGAGGTTGGCAGGCCCACAGCTTTACAGACGTGGTGCCCAATGAGACTTAACCTAAACAGTTACTCACGCGGTCACCCCTCTCGCAAGCGTTAGGTTACACTCGGAGTTGCCCTGCACAGGCTTGAGCAGTCTGGTGCTCTGTGTCACTGTGCTCTTCCTGCCTTCCAGGGTCAGCCTCCTTTAGTTTACGTCCTGTTTCGGTTGTTTAACCTCCTCAAGGTTCCGAAGGATGTGAGGGTGACAGCACATTCCAAGCATCTGGTGGGTAAAGTAATTCCGTCTAGAGTAGCTCCTGTCATGGGAACATTAGAAGCAAAACAGATGCTTTCGCTTTGTGTTTTAAAACTGATGTATCGGGAAGCCAGTCATTGGACTGAAAGTGGGTGAGAACGTTAATTTAATCTGGTGTTTTTGTTCCTGTCACTACCTAATTACAGAGTGCAGAGTCCAAGATCTTACTGCTGAATTTATATTTAAATTATTTACTGCATTGAGTTTATATTCAAAGTCAGATTTGATATAAATCGCTTTCACACTTACATCTACCAACTTAGTTTTTGGTAGAAATAACTTAAAGACTTCAGATAAATTCAGTACTTCACTTATAGGGGATTTGTATTAATTTGGACCTGGATTAGCTCAAATTCGATATTTGGGTTACCTGTAGAAAAAAGAATTACTAATCAAAGTAATTGGGTAAATAAGACTGTAAAGAAAATGTTTGCTCACTGGAGGAGCAAACAGCACATGTATAATGTATGGGAGTCCGCGCCTGCAGGTGCCCTGATGTGCTGCGTCTCTGCCTGTCCAGTGCCGTGTAGAAAACATGATCTTGGTGACTAATTTGAAAGTAGGTAAACACACAACTGCCTCTTTTTATGTGCGTATATACTTTGGGGAAATGGTTTTTGAACTATTCATAGAGTGAACGTTAGCAAATTATTCCTGCTTAAGTTCAGTTGTGAAATTAAATATACTGTAGGACGGTTTTACACTTACTAGTAAAGAGCATTTCTAAGAATTTAAACTTAATACTTATGTTTGAAGAAAAGAGTTCTGATAAGCGTTCTTAGTTTGTCACAGGAACAGACTGAAACCCGGCCTACCAG